TTTTAATAAATCTGCAAAAATGTCAACGATTCTGTGTTTTTCTGTCAATATGGGGTGCTGTGTGTACATTAATGAAGAAAAAAAATTAACTTAAATGATTTTAGCAAATGGCTGCAATATAACAAAGAGTGAACAATTTAAGGGGGTCTGAATACTTTCCGTACCCACTGTATATAGTATATATTCTGTATATATATATATATATATATATATATATGTGTGTGTGTGTGTGTGTGTGTAAGTAAATGTACCGCTGTTTTCTTCACTTCTCACCAAATTTGTGGGAATTTGCTGTGATGGAGTGTGAAAGTTCTTAACTTCCCAAATTATTTCAAATGCATAACAACTGAGAAAGTTGTGTGTAGGGGAGATAACAGTAGCATTTTTGCAGAGACTGTAAACCTTTAAACACAAATCGATTCTTTCAGTGTTGCTCGCCATTTGAAGCTCACTTAATTCCCCAAGATACCCAAAAGCTCCTTCTGAATCTTTTATTTATTGTGAATTTCTCTCTTCACTCCAGCTCCTGAAATGCACCCCTATATTACTCCCTTAAATGGATAGTTGAACTAGAAATGATAATTCTGTAAAATCAGGCTAAATTAGTTAACATTAGCTACTGCATTAAGCATCAGGTAATAATACCGTAAACAACATTTTATTAATCTAGGTAAATGATACTTTACACAGCACTGTGGGTAATCTGGCTGCATCTCATTCTCCTTTCTTTTCTCCCATTGCTTTCTGTCTCAATCACATTGTTCTTGTTTTTCCATTTATATTTTAAAATAATAATAATAATTATATTTTATACAATCATACTTTATACAATATAATTTAAACAATGTATTTATATACTGTATATGGAATTTAATAAAATGTATTTATATTTACAGAAATTAACAATAATCAAAATACCTTTTTAATGATAAAAACAACAACAGCCCAGTTTAAAATGTATTTATACTGTATATCAGAAATTAACTATCACTGTCCCTTTTCTTTTTTATAATAATAATTTTTAAAAAATTATTATTAGCTAACTAATGTATACAACTTGAAATGTATTAATACTGTATATGCAGAAATTAACATTAACCAAGATTATTAAATTATGTAAAAGTATTGTCCATACAGTAGTACCCAATGCTTTAGCTAAGGTTAACGAATTACACCTCAATGTAAAATGTTACCAGAAATTATATTAATATTTACCCTCATTTTGTTTCAACAGAATATGATAATAACAATCAGTCACTTTCAATTAGTTACCATAAAAAAAAGATGCAATAAAAGTGCATCGTTTCATGTCTAGGTGAACTATCCCTTTAAGTGTCCTTGGTGAATAATTTGTTGATTTATCAATGTCTGCTAAATGACAATAAAATTAACCTTGAATTTTCTGTCCATTCCAGGCATCTATACTGCTGTAAAGACATTGTCCTCCGCAGGAGCACGTCTGGCAGTCTGGGTTTCAGTATTGTGGGTGGACAAGAAGAACGCAACTGTAACCAGTCCTTCTTCATCCGCTCTATCGTAGAGGGCACACCGGCCTACAACGACGGCAGGATACGGTACAGACACTTAGATATGTATATGTCTACTATTGTCGGAAACCATGCTTTTTGTAGAACAACTATAAATAAACTGCCTAGCACAGTTTATTCAATACAACTTTTTTTTTTTTTTTGCCTTTACCCTCATTCTTGTCACGACTCCAACATACTAAAATTTCATACCTTTTTCTTTTTTTTCAAATTAGCTGTGGAGACATCCTGCTGGAGGTGAACGGGAAGAGCACTTGGGGAATGACACACACAGCTCTGGTCCGCCTTCTCAAGGAGCTGAGGGGTCGGATCACTCTCACCATTGTTTCTTGGCCCGGCAGCCTGCTATAGGACTACTCTGCGTGAGGGAGGGGCTTATCACATTGACCCTGCACTAGGGGTGGAGCATACACCACATACCTTATAATGACAAATAAAATGGTGGATTTTAGAATCCGAGACTTCCTTGAAAGGCGGGGCTTATGATACAGACTGCCCCCCGGGAGCAGGAAATGACACATGGACCTCATTCAGGTACTAGGAGCTCAGACTCTAAACTTGTAGGCGGAGCAAATGACTTGACTCCGCCCACCAAGAAGCACGTTTATCACAATCCGAAACCAGGAGGCGCTTTCACAATTGCCCTTTTGTCAGTTGGCAAGGGTTCGCTGATAAAGATGATATTTGTGCATGAGAGGAACATTGTGTCATTATAGATGGAAGGTGGAGATTGTAATCTGTATTAAAGGAATTGGGAGGGTCTGAAAACACAATTTCAGGATGTGTCAATAAATGAGTTGGAAATAGATGTATAAACATTATGGGCACTGCTATATGTAGTCAGATTTTGTGACTCTAATGTTGTTTGTAGAGGACGTTGAGATGCTGCACATGAGAGGGGTTTTCTTCAAACGAGAGATGAAAGGGATACTGGGATGTGTAGGGTTTGGGTGGGGGACACACATTGCCAATTCCATTAGTTTTACATGTTAGAAAATGCATCGAAGTGGACGCACATTCTTTACTATAAACATCGATGTCTGAAAAAATAATGAAACAGATTCAAGCACTTGTACTAGTGACTAATATTATTTTTGGTTTATTTCTCTCTCAGTTCCAACGGCTTTCAGATTTCGGCTTCCTTTTGTTCATTCTGACAGTGGTTCATTCTCTCCATCCACTGGCATGGAGACACATTTGCCAAGTAGTTCTATCTATGTTGGTACGTTTCAGATGCCGTCGCATATGAAAAACTATAGTGAGTAATAAAAAATAATAGCAACCGAAAAAAGAAAAGCAATGTTAATCTATTTTAAAAATGGATGATAACTTATAATGCTTATAATGATAACATGAGATTTTGGCGGCCTTGCTGACTTTTTTGTTTACTTTGGAGAAGAAAGGACAGAGTGGTGTGTGAAAGGCTTACTGTGTGAGTGTGTGTGTGTCTAGGTATCATTATGGGGTAAGGTGCGTGCTCTGGCATCTCATGCTTTGGCTTGTGCAGTATATTGTATCTGTTGGTACCTTTGGTTCAATGATCAATAAAGTCCTTTGGTTCAAAAGATCAATAAAGACTTGTGTTACTGTCTCGTGTTCTTACTGTGCACTGTGTGTGTGTGTGTGTATATAAATATATATTTATACAAACACACACACACACACACACATATACAAACTACCATTCAGTTTGGGGTCGGTAGGATTTTAGTTTTTAAAGAGGTTCACAAAGGCTGGATTTGTTTGTAATATTTCACAGTATTATTGTTTTATTGTATTTTTATATCAGTTTAAAGGAACTTTTCTATTTGAATAGATTTTAAAATGTCATTTATTCTTGTGATGGAAAAGCATCATTTTCAGCATCATTACTCCAAGCTTCAGTGGCACATGATCCTTCAGAAAACATTCTATAATGTGCTGATTTGGTGCTCAAAAAATATTTCTGATTATTATAAATGTTGAAAACAGTTATGCTGCATAATATTGTTGAGAAAAGCATTTTTTCAGGATTCTTTGATGAACAGAAAGTTTACTGTCAGTTTTGATGACTTTAATGCATTTTTGCTGAATAATGTATTAATTTAAATTAATTTTAAGGTCAGTACAGCTGTTGGCGTTCTCCACTCTAAATCATGTTTCACACACATTTACATTTCTTGATTATGTTTATAATGATTTTGCTTCAACAAAATTAACATTTGGCACAACAAAAATACCATTTTGTATTATCAAAACAATTATAAATCAATTATAAAATAAATGTATAAATTAAAAATAGTATACTTTGTTGACCACCTTTACCTTTTTTAAATCATATTTTCAAGAAATTAAATGTTAAATTGCTAAAACGGTAACATAAATAGGCTTATCAAGTGTTTGGCATACTATTAATCAAAATCTATTCACAGTTGGTCACTCAGGCTGTGACTGGTGACAAGACTAATGATCTTTCACTAAAGACCTCCTACTGGTCAACAAACGGGCTCACCAGCTGGCCAGGGAGTTATTCTGTGGCCTCTGACTGGTTCTCCTGGTCCACATTGCACTCCTCGCTGGGCTCAAGGCTTCCTCGGTTGTGTTTAGAGCGTTTGTGCCTGTGTCTCCTGTGGCTATCTGCGTCATCACTATCATGACGCCTCCTACTGCTCCCACTAATGAGAGTGACAGAGAGAAGAAGGTCACATGATCTATATATATTATGGTTATATAAGATGCTTTGCCCCCAATGAATATCACCTTTGTAGGCCCTTTTGTGTGCTTGTGTGTGTGTTATTCTGCATGATGTGACTGATGTGAAGCTCTAATGGCATGTTATGTATGTGGACATATTGTACATGCATTTGTTTTGGTGTTTTGTGTGTAAATTTGTACAAAAGGATATTGGGTATTATATGTGAGAATTTTCCCCCCTAATTAAGGGACAAATTTTATGAATTAATATTAAATACATTTTCCGGGCATTTTTACAGTACCTCTAAGGAGTAAAAAATGAATAAAAATAAAATAAAATAAAATAAATCGATTCATTTTCACACAGCTTGTTTTATGTATAATATATAGAGTATAACATAATAAATTATAATGTATCTGAAAAATTATGGATGTTATTTATATAATCAAAATCAACATTAAATTCAGAAACCGCTCTAAATAATGTTCAAGATGTCAGTATACAGAAATTATCTGTTGGAATCAATTTTGAATATTTTCCAGTTCCTGTATGAGATTTTACAACTTTCTACTGTATACCGTCACAGTAAATTTGGTCACACTTTATTTTAAGGTCCAGTTATCACTATTATCTAACAATTAACTACGACTTTTGCCTAAATAAACTCCTATTTACTGCTTATTAATAGTTAGTAAGGTAGTTGATAAGGTTAGGTATTGGGTAGGATTAAGGATGTAGACTATGGTCATGCAGAATATGTGCTTTATAAGTACTAATAAACAGCTAATATGCATGCTAATAAGCAACTAGTTAATAGTGAGAATTGGTCCCTATACTAAAGTGTTACTGTACGTTTAGATCAACCACTGAAAAGCACTATTAGCTACACATTCAGCAATATTTGACTCTGAAACAGTGAATACAGATGATAGCTACAGGTCACTATGGTGTCAGTAAAGGAATGAAAGGGATAGTTCAACCAAAAATCTAAATTCTGTCATTAATTACTCACCCTCATGTCGTTCCAAACCTGTAAGACGTTCGTTCATCTTCGGAACACAAATTAAGATATTTTTGATGAAATCTGAGAGCTTTCCGACCCTACATAGAGAGCAATGAAACTGAAACGTTCACAGGCCCAGCAACGTAATAAGGGCATCGTTAAAATAGTCCAAATGACATCAATCCTTACTATGTTGCAGGGCCTTGAACGTGATGGTTCCCTTGCCTTCTGTCTATGCAGGGCCAGAAAGCTCTCGGATTTAATCAAAAATATCTTAATTTGTGCTCCGAAGATGAACGAACGCCTTACAGGTTTGGAACGACATAACGGTGAGTTTTTTAGGGTGAACTACCCCTTTAAACCCATAACTAGATAGGTTTAGAATAAAATATTATGAAATAGATATCAAATGTTAGATAACAGATAAAAAAATAGAATGTTCACTGCAGGGACTTTTTCTGCCCATCATCTGGGGCATTTTAGTCACCTTTTTCTTTTACTGTCCAGCACCCTGGTGAATTTCTGACCCGGTGCGTTACCTGCGTGAGGATCTGTGTTGTTCATTCCTGTCTCTGTGTCTTCTTTCTCGATGTCTGTCTCTCACTCCTTCTCTTCCCGAGCTTTCTTGGTACCTCTCGCTTCCGTGATGACGGTGATCCCTGTGTCGAGACACACGCTCCTCCTCACTGCACACACATGTACGAACACACTCATTAGTATTGAGGGAAAATAGTGCATCAGTCTGTTATAAAAACAGAGCAAGATGACTCGGTTAGCTACATAGGCAGGGCAGCATCCTAACTGTCAAGGAACCTCACAAGCAATCGTTTGGAATGCTCAAACTTTGTACGCCACACAAGTAACACTCTCCATGGCAAACTGGCAATTGTTTTCAACAGAGTTTGACTTTAGCATGTTGCTAAGCTAATGGCAGTTTCTAAATCATTACGATTGTACACTGACTTCTAATAAGATGAATGGCTTCTGTTAGTTTCCCACACTCCAGATGGGACAAACTACCTTGTTTTATGAAACAAAGTTGTGAAACTGTAAGACTAAAGGTTTGTTCACACCTAAAAAGGAAACAATAACTATATTAGCCTGCCACTTTAAGTGCTCAAACATCGAGTAGATTCTAATTGGCTGTCAATGTTTTTATCGTTTATCACCTAAAAATATTCTGAAAGGGCAAAAAAATAATATATTGTACCTTTAAGTAACTCTGATGTTTCCTCTCTTTGCATTTCTCATAGTTAGTCAAATGATATGTTATTGTTAGCAGCTGCTGCTGCAAGGCCAACATGAATCTGTGTTTTCATGTGTTTTCATCAAATTCTTCATGCTGTTTATTAATAAGAATTAGAACCATATACATGCCCCTCTGGGACTTATAAATGTATAAAGGCACAATGAGTAAAACATGATGTGACTGTCTCTGTCTGTCTGTCTGTCTGTCTGTCTGTCTGTCTGTCTGTGTGTGTAGTTGTCGTGCCAGCTGGACTGAAGACAGGCCAGTCCTCTCTCTACGCCACAGGAATGAGATCATATCTAGGGGACAAGTGTTCACCAAATGTCCAACCAGTTGCTAAGAGCATTACAAGCCAGATAAAAAAAAGAGAGAGAGATTGAGTGAGGGAACAGGCTAAGTGAGAAAAGAAGAAAGAAGTTAATGAAGCAGATTGTCAGTGCAGGTGTTGTTGATCTCTTTGTGCTGATCTTGCTATTGAGTTCGGCCCTGTTTACACCTGGTATTAACATTCACCTTGGGTGATCTTATCATGAGTGATCAGGCAAAACAAATTAATCACAATAAAGGTACCTGTTTGATATTACAAGTACTATGAAAGAATTAATCTTTGGATGTGCCCATCTATGACTTAAGATATTTAGTTTGAGGTACTAAGCTACTGTAGATAATCAGGAGCAGAACTATATATATTCTACTTTGTCATTTGTCTATAAAGATAATCAGAACTCACGCTACTGTTCAAAATATATATATTTTTTAAATAAATAAAAGAAATTAATACTTTTACTCAGCAAGGACACATTAAATGGATCAAATGTCACAACAAAGACATTTATAATGTTACAAAATGTTTCTATTTCAAATAAATGATTTTCTCTCTAACTTTCTATTTATCAAACAGTCCTGGAAAAATGTATCATGATTTCCAAAAAAAAAAAAAAAAACATTTTTTTTTGTTCGGTGCCTTGCTCAAGGGTCTCACCTCAGTCGTGGTATTGAGAAAGGAAGAGAGCACTGGTTATTCACTACCCGACTCTCTAACTATTAGGCCACGACTGCCCCTTTGCTGCATTAAGTTACAATGAAAGGCAACTGAAGTTGCCAAGCTTCAAAACGGATGCAAAGCACCATAAAATAAACCATAGAAATGGTCCATATGACTCTATTTCACTTCTTCTGGTGCTACATGATAGCTTTGAAAGAGTTCATTTGTTGTTAAGTTTGGTCTTTTAGATGAATATGTTGTTTCAGTTCACAAAAAAAAAAATCTAAATCACTCAATGATCTGATCATCATTATCAGTGAATAATTTCAGTCTGTTTCCCACAAAAAGGATTCAGAAGACTTGTTATATAACACATCTGATAAATCCCTTTTATGATTCTTTTGCTTCATTTTTGAAGCGTAAAAAGCTCTGTGGACTAGGGGTTGAACGACTTCAGATTTTTTAAAGTTGACATTTATGAAAGTTGAGTCGACGTCAACTAGTTGCTTATGACGTCATTAATGAATAAATAAGCCTGAACCTTGAGCTGAGACTCGAACACCTTGTGCACAGCTATAACATATGACACAACGCTGCCCACATGGCTATTGCTCCTATAACATCATTTTTATCAGTTCTTTTGTCTTCGGGTCGTTATAT